TAGGTTCATGCAAAATTATTACTAAATACGTTGATAACGATATATACATAGCAGTTTGTTACTATCGTGATAATAAATTGTGTGGGTAATGAGCGATTAAGGGCTGTGCAAGCGTTTACGTTAGGCTCGAGTCTCGATAGCGCATCAGGTGAAATTTGAATGCCATAAAAAATGTCTGCCTACTCAAAAGACTAGTTTACAACTCTCCAACCACATTATCCGAGTTGAAAAGAATTACAGATATTTGGGAAAATAATGAAAATATAAAACATATGATCAATGTATACAGAGCATGTGGGATACAAGCTGTGACCAAAGCAAAGGGTGGAAATACAAGATATTAACATGTGTTAATAATGTTATATACATTAGTAGTTATGTTAGTAGCTAATAAAGATCATTACAATTTGAATTGACCTTTTAATTTTACGTAAAACATGAAAAATACTCAAAATTTATAGAGGTCCTAAGTCAATGGCCAGGAATTATAGTAGGGGAACCTTTTCAAATAGAGAATATCTAATCTCAAAAGATATAATGTGCTACCTATTTCAACCTGGTTCCTTTTGTTAAAATGGTGAAGCTTCTACTACCAGGTACCGTTGTTGCTGTAGTAGTAAGTAGTAATACCAAAATGATTCTCTGAAAGGCACAAAGCAAGTGCCACGAAAAGCACCGCTCGACCGCTCTTCCTTTTTCGCTCTAGGATACCACGAATATACAATACAGTTGGCCCCGGTATGATAGGCGCCGTTAACACAGAGCGATGTCAACCTTCTGTTCAGTGGGGTGGTTGAGCAGTATATTTAGCGCCACTTCCTTTGTGTTTCTTAGGTAGGGAATCATGTTGTTTGCAATGTGTACACTCAAGAACAAAGGCTTCCTTTGGGGAAATGTTTAGAAATTTGGAATTTTGCAAGTTTAGAATTTTGGTATTATGGAAAATTGAGGATTTAGGAATTTGAGGATGTAGAGATTTAGGGGTTTGAGGATTTAGAGATTTGAAGATTTAGTAATTTGGAATATTGAGGGTTTGAGAATTTGGAGATTTGGAATTTGGGAATTTGAGGTTTTAAAGCTTTGGGGATTTAGAGATTTGGGGGCTTAGTAATTTGGAAAATTGAGGATTTGAGGATTCAGTAATTTAGAAAATTGAAGATTTGGAGATTTGGAGATTTGGAGATTTAGAGATTTGGAGATTTGGAGATTTGGAAATTGGAGGAGTTAAAGCTTTGAGGATTTGGTAATTTGGAAAATTGAGGATTTGGGAATTTAGAGATTTGGAAATTTAGATATTTGTTGACTTGGGGATTTTGTGAGTTTTGGATATTTGGATGTTTGAGTGTTTGAGGTTTTGGGAATTTAGGGATTCGGAAATATCATACTTTGAGAATTTCTGAATTTAATGCAAAAAAATAGGAAAACGGAATGAAATAGAATAAATGCTCAGGTCAATTTGCTAAATTCTCTTTTTAAAAAAAGAGAAACTTTTTATAGAAAGAGACTTCGTTAATTTATTAAATATATACATATATTTTTAATGATTCCCTGAATGATAAAAGTTATTGTCAAAGGTACTAATTAACGAAGTTTCTAACGTAATCAAAATACGATGATAAATTAATGTGCTGTACACAATTATTACAATACACCTACACAAATATTAAAATATTTTCGGAATAAAATCATAAATCCTGAATTTGAAAATTCCTTGCTTTCTTATTACTAGATACTTTCGTCGCTGTTTTCATTGATCCCAATCAAACTTTTGAATCTATCGATCGTTCCATTTTTGTATTCAAACTTCATGTAATCAAACTCCATTGAACTTTTCTTGATTGGCTTCTTAGTTACCTTTACGACAGGATCCGAACTGTGAAATTTAATGATTGCCTCTCTAAGGAAATTGCTGTTCTTTGTGAAGTTCTTCAAAGTTTCACCTAGGTTCGCCGTGTTATATCTCTTTTATAAATGACTTCTCTGATGTATTTCTGTACAATGAGTTTGTACATTATGCCAACGACCTGAAAATTTGTTGCGCTAGAGTGTGACAAATGCAACCTTAATATAGCAACATTTGCAGTGGCGGCTCGTAGCTAAAATTAGGGGGTGCTGCTCCAGAAAACTTTCTGCTTTTGTTTTAAAATTGTTTTACAAGGTAACCAACACGTATAAAAAGAATAAATTTATTCAGAAACTTGATAAAATCTTGAAAGAACAAAATCGAACATTTATTACTTATTATGTTAGCGGTAATATCGATAGGAGAAAATAGGGGGTGCTGCATTTCCGCAATGTCTATAGGAGAGTCACTGATCATTTGAATAGACATTTTCTTTGGTGTCAAAAAATTTACTTCTTTTTAAAAAAAATTTACTTCTTACATTTTAATATTTCGAAATGTCACGTAATTTATCTTTATTATAAGCGGGATCCTTTTAATTGTCCTTATAAAGTAAATGTGACACGATATTTAATTTCATTTAAACGTTCCACGATATTCTTTGGATCAAACGATTAAGGAAGTAGTTAAGATAATTGGTATATCATTTATATTAAGAGAATGTAAAATTATGACTAAATATACTTATTCGAAAAGATCAAATTTCTACCTTCAAATAAAATATTGTAAGAAGAAATTACACTTGTGAAAGGAAAAATTTTAAATTAATTAAAATCTTAAAATAATTCAAATGATTCAGTAGTTAAATACAACTACTAAATTTGTACTACTTTAATTATTTTCATTATTTAGTAACAAAAATCTAGATGGATTTGGCAGAATGAAAATATGTTATTTAGAATAATATCATTTACTCAAGTACAGTTGGTTCCTTCTTCTAAATTAATTTTAGTACATGAAACTCTTTGGTGGCAACTAATAATGAAATGTATGTTTTATTTAAAGACTTTTTTGCTGCACAAACATCTTTTTAAAATATATAGAATATTACTTTTTAAACAAATTTTCTGTTCTTGAAAAATTTATGTGACTATAACATAAGAAAATTGATTAAAAATGTACTATATAAAATTTTAGGTTAATATTATGATGAGTTTAAGAGAAAATGAATTATATAATTAATTATACATATTTAATAAATAAAAATCAATTTTACTATTTAAAATTATAACATTGATTATAATTTTAAGAAAAGTTATGTTAAATTTTGGAGTACATATTTTACAAAAATATTTTTGCATGATATAAATATTGAATTATAGAAACTTATAAATTATATTCATGTAAAACTAATATTACATATTTTGGTATTATATTTTACTAAATGTTCAAAATGAGAGTTAAATATTATTGTTATCAAAATTCCCATTCAAGTATTAATTACCAGGACTCATTTGAACACTAGGACATTTTCTTTTTCCTTTTCTCAGATTCCCTATCTTACAATCACAACCACAATGTTCGTGTTAAAGTATTGGTATGTCTCTAACTCTCTTACTGTCCTTTACTACATCTAAATTGGAATATAGGTTAATAATCTGGTATCGTTATAAATACCGCATAGCTTCAACAGAGAAAGTGCAACATAAATTTCTTAGATTAATCTCTGTCCATAGTAGTGCGCATTCCTCTTATTGTCATAAATATGAATCAGCACAATCGTATTTCAATTTACTTACACTTGAACAGCGTCGTATCATAACTAATCTACTATCTGTATACATGACCATCAATCATCTCATATCGCGACCAAATATTATATTCAACTTGAGCTTTTGTACTCTTTTCTGCGATCTAAAGAACATTAAGAGAGATTGCAGCTAATGGCTTTATTCTATAGTCCCTGGCCATCGAATTAGGACCACTATAAATTTTCAGCATTTTTCAGCGTTTAATAACTTGATTTCTTCTTTTATAATTAAAATATGAAAATTATATATTAATTGTATTTTTAGTATGTAATCAGAAAATGAATTGTCACCTGTTATCAAGTAAAAATTTATTGTAGAGAAAGGAGGTTAGAATGGGAGAAACTGGGGGATGAAAGAATTGATAACGAGAAATTAGAAAAGAAAAATTGTATAGAAATGAATTATGATTCAGAAACATGAAAGAATAAAGCTTATATGGTTTTTAGTTTATGGTTCTGATTGGAAAATGTTAAAAAACGAAGATAAGGAAGTGTGAAATGATTTGGATTAATGTATTGCTGTAAGATGACCGAGATTCCATTTCCTTGAGCCCGGCTTCAGTTGGGATTTCTTATCGGAAATGTTGCGACGTAATAATCCTGTTATACACGAACTTTAAAGAAAACTAACAAAAACTCAATCTTCGATATTCTCTTTACGTGACCTATACATTGAGCATATGAATACTCAATAATTCAGATTTGTAAAATACATACCTACTGTTCAAATATTTTTGTGACCTCAGAGTTAACTTACTTTATTTCCTGCTTATCATTTAAATGATTAAATACACTATACAAAGAAACGATTTCTGTATTTTTATTAACAAAAAATATGGTGCAACATAACGCAATGCATATTTAAGACATTTATTATAAAAGTGATCCAAGTCCATTTAAGTTTAAATTTAGATATTTAAGAGTTTGCGTTTTAATGAAATTAAAAATATACGTATCAATGTATCATACTCCTGAAATACATCTATGAAAGTTAAATTTTTATTAAGAAAAAAATTTCTATTAAAATAATAGTTATTATTAAGTAAATAATATGTGTTCTTACCAACAATGTACTTAGGCCATTTTCTAAATAAATAACTAATTTACTTAAAATGCAAAATAAAATATTGAATCTTATTACTCAAAGAGTTCCGACTATTTTTACCGAACTGAATAAATCAGACAAAATTAAATCATTATATAATATCAAATAATGAAAAAGTATTCAATACATATTACAGAAGAAATAAAAATTATAAAAAGGAATAATTAATACGAAATCGTATTACATATTTCCATTATGTCTGGTTATAACGTTACAGTATCTGATCACAATTTTCATTTCAGTGTAGCACGCACCGAAAAGGGACTGCATTAGGAATTTTGTGCGAACCATTGTGCGCAGAAAGAGGAATTCACTCGCTCGCCTGCGAAACACTCCATGCAGGAAAAGAAGCTGTCTTTTCTGCCCACTGGGAGACAACTCGACTCATGTTCAAGGCTTCAAGGTTTACATCTTTTACATGTTTTCGTATTATCGTGTCCGTTTATCCGTCTTTTCATTTCAGCGAGCGTCGCCTCTGACATTCAGTAAGGACAGACGTTTTCTTCTAAAATTTGTTCAAGAAAAGCTACTCTGTGAATTGATTTTATGTTTCATTGGATAGAGAAAATATATATTATACGAAAAATTATTTCCAAAATTAATAACAATGCTGTAAAAATTCGAATATTTAAATTATTCGAATTTTCCGAATATTAGAATTTTTGAATTATTCTAATAAGGTGAAGTGGGGTAAGTGCAGACTGGTTTTTGTAAAGATGGTATTTAAACGTAAGTATTTTCAGTCTGTTATGCAAATGCTCAACGCTGTCAATATCGAACGCTTTGCACAATTACTACTATTTAATTAATATTAACTAGGACCTTAATTTTCCTTGTACATTTTGATTTTGATAGGAAATTGTTTAAAATGTCAACTACTCTGCACTTTCCCCGAAAATGGGGTAAAAGCGTAACTTGAAGTTAAATATTTTGAAACTTTATTTCATGTGCAATAGGGCAAGAGCAGAATTATTAACAAATCTG